CATCAAAGAAACAAGTGTAAAAAACCGGTAACCAGTGAGACTTCTTGAAAATGATGTGACAATTACTCACCCTCTACACAAAGGTCTGCAACGAGTGCTTTGAAAAAGTTTAATTGTCCCTTTTCTACCTTTCTGTCTCCTAATTCTACCAGGCGACCGCATTGGAATGTCTACATAGGCCCCCAAACTCTTAATGTAGTAGAAAAGATCATAGCGAGGGATAGCACCAGGCTATGATGGATTAACTCCAATGATCTTTAAGTATGGTGGTCCGATTTCGACTGTTAAATTGAAATGTTAACTAGAGTCGGGGAACTGAACGTAGTCTCACCCACCTAGTCTCAATCTCTGATTTCCCCAGTCTATAGGAAAAGACACAAGTCCTCTTTTGACAACCACTGAGGAATCAGTTTGACTAATGTGATACATAAATTATTACCCTCAATAATCATCCAACGCTTAACTAGGACTTGTGAAGAGCAAACTCTGGACGTAGACGTCGATGTGTATAACAAATATTAACTCCTCCAATTTGATATTCGACCATGTGTTTCCGACACATTTCTCGTGTATTTTAGACTATCGAATGAGAAGTACCGAGATTAGACATAGTATACTGCGTAAGTACGGCAAATTAGTCGATTAGGTATTAGATCATCACCAACTGAGGTGGTTTGCACTAGCTGCATATACTGTAGACCGCTTCACCAACGGACGATGTTGTCTGGTGTAGGATTTGTAAGGAGATGTACATCGTATTTAGCGTAAATTGCCAGTAAAGACTTGATGCTGCGTGGAAGTTGGTTAAAAAATATGTTTATTTATTCATTTAAACACACAAACATTGGTACAAGGAGGAACCAAATAGATATGCGCCACATAAATCATTCGATTTGTGTGAGGGCTGGGATACTGCCTAGGTGCCCAAACCGAAGCAGGTGGTTTCCTTAGGGATCCATACACTGAGCCTTCGACTTAAAGGTCTGATCCACAAGGCAGTGGAGCAACGTAAGGAGATGCAGTCCTTGGTAGCCGGTGACCATTTGTTCCCTCAGTATACTGGAGGCCATGTGCACCATTGGTTTGGAATCAAGGTTTCCCAACTTCGCTAGGTGGATTTTCCGTATCCACCAACCTGGTAAAAGTGCCGGACATTCTCTTTTCGTCCTCTCGATTCATAAATAACTCCGCCTCAAGAAGGCAGTGTGTCGAACTTCCATGGCGGTGGTTGTATGCACCTGGCCATATGAGAGCATTACGAAAAGGAGAGCGGACTCTCCTCACTCACGGCCGTACCAGGGCTTTTGGGGGTGGTTGAAAAAAGTATAGAAAATGATGAGTCCTGTGATGCTTTACTAATCGCTATTTTTCGAGAGGAGATTTCATACTTTCTAAAAGCAACCAAACAGCTATGCAGGTGTCTGGAGATTCTTACGCTTTCCAGCTTTAGTGAAGGCGACGCAGATAAGATCTAGCTTTCCATTAGCTAGCGACTCTTCCAGTTACCCCTACTGGGCATTTTTAAAACACTATAAGCCTTTCTTAAAGTCGTAATGTGCACTGCCGAACAAGCTACGATTTTCCTCAAAGATCACGACTATCTTTTTTTATGGTTACCTCCAATATCCTGACTACGACACTTGCGAGGATGATCGGTCTATAGTTTGATGGGTGTTGTCTAGATTGTCTAGTAGATCTGAGTGACACATCTTTCTAGTGTGTTGGTGATGTACACTAGCTGAACGATATTCTGAAAACAATTATGAGTGTGGCAGCTACGTATATTACACGTTGTCTGGGCATTTAATGGTGTAATGCATTTGGTCCTGTTGATCTGTTCGTATCTTAAGAGCCTAATGTCTTAAGCACGTTCTGGTTGAAATCAATGAGTAACTTGTTCAAGAAAAATACCGATGTCGTTTTTGGATGACGCATCATCTCTTAATCAGATTGTTTTTAATAATGTTCAGATTAAGTATGGTATGGTTAGAATGCCATGCTGACTACACAGTAATAAATAGCTTAAATTTAACTGGCAGACATTGTGAAATAATATTAGCAAACTATCATAATCTCACCTTTTACTGTGTTTTTTATTAGATAACGGATTTTGTGACACATGCACGATGGCTGGAGCTTTTCAGCGGTGTCGTCAATCATTTCTTCCTGGTTATTTGTCAGACTTAGTTTATTGGCCTATATTGCAAACCATTAACTTCGCCCTTGTTCCTCCTGGATATCGTGTCTTATATGTCATATTTTTCACTAGTCTTTGGAATACTTATTTATGTTTCTTTAATGCTCGTATGGTAAGTATCGCAAAGTGTGTCCTTATACATTTCTTAGTTTCTCATATGCGTAGTTATATGTATCATAAAACTAGTTTGTTCCAAGCGTTCTGTTATCAGTCGGACCTAAGTCGTCGCTGATTGTATATGAACACTATAAACGAATAGTTTGATAGGAATTGGGCCGTAAGCTTTTTACAGGCAGTGTGGGTGAAGATTATGTTTGAAATAATTTTAGAATGTATAACAACCTTATTACTCGAAAAATTGTAATTCGATATAGTATAACAAGTTCTCCATTGGCCAGTCAGCTACAACGTACGACCAGACATATATGCATCGGTCCAGGTTGCCATACCTCATTAGCACAGCAAGATGGACACCGGATTCATAGGAGTGGTTAAGTCAATGGTGGTAATATATGAAAGAAAGATTGCATATAACGATATAGTACAGGAAGGAAGAATTAGTTCGTAGAAAGAAAGATATGAAATGATTTTAATCTCTTAGTTTAAGTGAAGACGAAAAGTGTATACACCTACGCCATTGTGATTGATTCTGATCCATGTCATCAAGAGTCTCCAACCATTGGTTACGATAGTCACGCGGACGCCAACCAAGTAATCTGCATCTACCAAAATGACTCAGACCAGATGTTAGTGTCTTCAAGAACTGATGCCAGGTTTTGTTTGACCGCCCCTAACTTTATTCCAACCATCCCCTACACTGGTTAGCATTGCATGTCGTGGTTATCGGTGTTCAGGCATACGTAACACGTGGCACAACCATCTCAGTCGATGAAGATTCACAACCTCATCAACTGATTTACCATCATTCCTTAATACCCTGTGTCTGTCTAACCTCACTATTACTTACCCGATGATCCCAGCAGATGCGAGCAATATTTCTAAGGCATTTGTGGTCAAATACTAGTAGCTTACGAGTATCTTCTACTCTTGATGGCCATGTTTCGCTGCCGTAAATTAAAACAGAACGAACTGCCGCACAGTATACTCGTCCCTTAATTGATAGACGGATATCTTGCCTTCACCATAGGTGACATAAGTTGGTAAAAGCCAAACGTGGTTTTCGAATATGTGCTGAGATTTCGTCGGACACCAATCCATTAAGGCTGATCAGACTTCCAAGATTAGTGAAGTTGTCGACGCGTTCGACCACTTCACTCCCTATCCTTAGTTCAGGTGTTGATGCAGGCCAGTCCTGAAGCAACAACTTGCATTTAGAGGGGGAGAAGCGCATCCCAAACATTCTGGCTTTTTTGCTCAGTGCTACCAAAAAACTCAGCGTCTTCACGAAACAGACTATGTCACCAGCGTATTCTAATCCAATATGCAGGCCTCCTAGTAGAAGATCAACTGAAAACTCAGTCTCCATTGGAAATTGCTCAATCAGCGATTCAGTAATCCTCTGATACTTTCTGTCAGTGAGTTAAGTTGACTCCTTCGTAATGTAAAATTTAGATAATATCGTCTTGCCATTAAGACTTACTATTCCCGGGCCTCACTCCATATAATGTCGTAAATTCACACCACTGAGTTCCAAATAAAGATTGACTTGGTGCTTAATATTCTGTTGGTTGGGTTTACAGGTCCTGTCATGACGATAGTTTAAATCATGCTTTAAGTGAATTTTCACTTTCCCTTTTTATTGACTGATATTGATTTCAGGGCCGCAGTGGTTCCGGGATCGAAAACAACCGATAAAGGGAAGATTAAAACTGAGGAGGTTTAGCAAAATCCCATATTGTTTTTTCATACATTATTCTAATTACAACTTTTGGCGTCAGGAGTTTGGCTGTTGTTCTATGACAATCACACTTCATTTTGTGTAATTTCTCATAGAACATCTCCTTGGTAAAATATCTGAATAATTTCAGGCTTCATGGAAAGACTGTTCACTCATTTTCATAATTATATTTATTTTCCTTTTTCGTCCGCACCTGTATTTTTGGTGATACGATAAATTTAGATCGTTAGATTTATATTATCAACCAAACTATTCATCCTATATTTTTACTTCCACTTTAAATTCATGTTAACTTTTTTTTCTTAGATTTTTCCTAGAATTCAGTGCACCTAACCTACTTATATTATAAATTCATTTTTGCGTTTTGATTTTGTTTTATATACACTGAAAAACAGAATATCATTTCTCATTATTCTCATGTTATATTTGTAATATGAACGCCCAAGTTATACCAATGGTCAACAGTCTAGATATGCTTCTATTTCAGTTCATTTAGATGTTAGGCGGTTGCTATGATGCCCAGAGATCCTGGATTTCTTCCTTCTTGGGGTTGGATGCGCTCTGCCGAGGAGTCCGATGCTAGGACAAAACCCTCCAGGCTTTCAGTGGTGGTTTAACTAAGAATAGTTTTTGGCATGCAATCGTATTAAAATTCTGTAATCTCCACAAAACCTTACACTATTAAACAGGAAATTTAAAATGTTTTGTAATGATTAATATTACCATAAGTTGTTAAAAACCACTGCTGCTCGTTTGAAACAAGTATTTATTTAAAAAGCTACCTCTTATTGTCATTGTTAATGTAGATATATAAATAAACACATGTCTGAAATAGATTTATTTGTACTTAATTTTATCTAAAGGCTTATTCTTAATCAGAATAGTGAAAAAAGCTAATAACAGGGCATTATTAACTGATATAGGTTGCATTATTATTGATATATTTATAAACTGAAAAAAAACTTTATGGTTAATTATATCACATCAAATAGTTACACATTATTTTAACAAATGATTATTATAATTGTCAGTACGTATACAATTGGTAGGACATCATTTTTAACTACTTTTCCGTCTTCACCTCTGGTCAAGTATCAATCAGTCTCCTTGATTGATAACTGAGGGTTCAGTTCCACGTTTGCTCATATTGCTGGAATCAGTTGAAAATCTTGGTAAAGTTGGGTTATCCTAGGGAAAACAAATTCAAGAAACTAATGTTTTAGATTATTTTTCTCTAATGACTATTATCAGTCAGTCAGCTACAACGTAGGACCAGACACATATATACATCGGTCCAGGTTGCCATACCTCATTAGCACAGCAAGATGGACACCGGATTCATAGGAGTGGTTAAGTCAATGGTGGTAATATATGAAAGAAAGATTGCATATAACGATATAGTACAGGAAGGAAGAATTAGTTCGTAGAAAGAAAGATATGAAATGATTTTAATCTCTTAGTTTAAGTGAAGACGAAAAGTGTATACACCTACGCCATTGTGATTGATTCTGATCCATGTCATCAAGAGTCTCCAACCATTGGTTACGATAGTCACGCGGACGCCAACCAAGTAATCTGCATCTACCAAAATGACTCAGACCAGATGTTAGTGTCTTCAAGAACTGATGCCAGGTTTTGTTTGACCGCCCCTAACTTTATTCCAACCATCCCCTACACTGGTTAGCATTGCATGTCGTGGTTATCGGTGTTCAGGCATACGTAACACGTGGCACAACCATCTCAGTCGATGAAGATTCACAACCTCATCAACTGATTTACCATCATTCCTTAATACCCTGTGTCTGTCTAACCTCACTATTACTTACCCGATGATCCCAGCAGATGCGAGCAATATTTCTAAGGCATTTGTGGTCAAATACTAGTAGCTTACGAGTATCTTCTACTCTTGATGGCCATGTTTCGCTGCCGTAAATTAAAACAGAACGAACTGCCCCACAGTATACTCGTCCCTTAATTGATAGACGGATATCTTGCCTTCACCATAGGTGACATAAGTTGGTAAAAGCCAAACGTGGTTTTCGAATATGTGCTGAGATTTCGTCGGACACCAATCCATTAAGGCTGATCAGACTTCCAAGATAAGTGAAGTTGTCAAATTAACCCCTCTATGATTGTCAATCGATGATTTTGAACGTCTCTTATGTATTGGGACGATAAGTGATTGTGACCAGTCTGATGGGATAACGTCCAACTCCCAGATTTTAGCTAAAATATTAGTCAACCTAATCGCTAAAATTGGACCACCATCCTTAAAAACCTCTGGAGCCAATCCATCTGGACCAGCTGCCCTTCCTTGTTTCAGATTAACTATAGCCTTTTGAACTTCTGTTAGAGTTTGTGAACCTACTTCAATGTTACATTCACACTGTCTTGGAATGATGGGTATTTGTAGAGTAGCTGTACGCCAGCTGAACTGTTCTCTATAATGTTCCGCCCATCGTTTTAAACATCTGGACTGGGAGCAGATGAGAATGTCGTCTTTTCCCGAAATAGTCTCACTTACACTTGGCTTATTAATTCCAGTTTCTTTTATTAGTCTGTAGAGCTGTCTTGTGTTCCCTGTAGCCACCGCTTTTTCTATCTCTTTTACTTTCGTTGCTCCTTAGACTTTTGCTTAACATAGATCTGATTTCTTGTCGCTCTTCATCGTGTTCAGAACCTGATGGGATGAGTTTTGCGAGAATCTATCAGTGCAATAGACCTTGAGGAAATCCATTGGTTCTTTGTAACCCTGTGGTTTAGATCACTAATAGATGTCACTGCTGTTTCCACAGCTGTTTGTATATCTTTCCAAGCAACATCCTGGTTAGCCTCGTTTTCAGAACTACCTGATTGTGACCTCAGTTGTTCCTGGAACCTACTTTTGGTTTTATTGCTACTCAATTCAGTTCTAATGGGTCTTTTTAGTGTGGCTTTTTTGCGTCCATTGAGGCGCAAGCAGATGCGTGCCCGTTTTAGGGCGTGGTCGGAGTCCAAGCAGGTACTCCAGAATGAGCGACAATCTTCTACCGCCCCTCTCCAACGATGACTGATGGCAATATGGTCTATTTGGGTCCATCGTTGGTTTAGTGTAGGGGGTCACCATGCTAGACGATGTCTCTCCTTATGCTTAAAATTTGTGTTTGCTAGAAATAAACGATTGTCTGAGCACAGTTTCAGCAGACGATCACCATTATCTGTTCTTTGTGCCGGAATACTAAAATACCCACCTAAATGTCTTTCTCTTTGGTGTAAACTACTTATCTAGGCATTAAAGTCACCTGCTACGAGTACTATGTCTGAACGTTTAGCTTTCTGAGGAAGTTCACAGAGCTTTCTGTAAGATTCACCTTTCACTTCATCTGAGCTGCAGTCAGTGGGAGCGTAGGCAGAATTACTAATATATATATGTCACTTTAAGCTGCATCTTAATGTGTCAATTATATAATTGAAACCTAAAAGTGACGACTTCACATTAAAATGTTGGTAGTCTGTCACAAGAATTGTTATTAATGAGCACAATATTGTCATTCGGTTGGTCAGTTTGTAAGAATTAGTTTAATTTGAAGAGAGTTAGAATGTTGTGGTGTGAGCTCACGCCGTCGATGAGTTCCAAATATGGACGAAACAAGTATAATTTGTTATTTTTAATTGCTATTTCTTAAACTGATTTCAGTCTGTGACAAAAGAATCTCCAATCATCGGATGTGTTGAACTGTTCCTTATTACCTACTATCATAATATTGGAAAATTTGTAATTTTGCTATTAGATCAAGTAACATGTTTTGTAACTAACTTAATCCAATTCACCCTAAATCAAAGATTATCCATAATCTTTTTGATCATTTTAATGATATATAGTTCACTATTGCGCGTAATTTTGTTTCAATAATTTAATTAATTTAATGTTCCGATAAATATCGATTTTTGCATTGTTTAAGGTGATGGATGTGTAAGCTCAAGTTCTAACTTGAAAAACTTTTAGAAGCACCTTAAACAAAGACTATTTTAAATATTTTATAATTTTTGATATCTAATAGTGAACCAGTTATTACTTTCGGAGACGTGCGTATTTTTTTTGGTGAATACTATCTAAATATAATCTGCAGGAAATCCTGGACTTGAATTTTGTGATAGCTAACACTTAACATGAAGGTTTATCTTCGCTCCTGTAAAAAATATTTTTCATGAGATTCAAATCATAGTTACCTAGTACTTTAGTATCAAAATTTATCACTAAGCTATTCCGGTTACAACTGACTTTCTGTTGGACTTAGAAATTTATATTGATTGCTCATCTATATAAATAGTAAATAGTATTTTGTTGTCTGTTCGTTAGTACATAGCGAGTGCTATGAATAATGGAGCATAGAATTGTTTACTACTAAATAATCATTTAGTTTTAGACAAAATGGCTTGCCATTTCCTATCCTTACTATTGATTGAATAAGAAAAGTGTATACGTAATGTTCAAATCATAAGGTTAATCGGTTAATAAATATAAAAAATAAGAAACTAATCAGTTATATTTCTTAGTGAAAGCGGCTAACTTATCACCAAACAGCATCAATGTGAGGAAATTATGGAACTTTCTACTTTTCGGTGCATCTGAAAATTTCGTCACCATATGGAATTCTTACGACGAACTACACTACAAATTGTACATGGAGAGAGGCTCATAGACATATTCCAAGTGAAGACTGGTATCAGACAAGGCCCCGTATTTTCACCTTTCCTCTTTTTACTTGTGGTTAACTAAATTATGAAGACCTCCAGATATCAGGGTAGGCACGGAATACAATGGACAGCTTGGACGCAGCTAGTTGACTTGGACTTCTGATATGACGTAGCTCTCCAATCCCATAAACGGCATCAAATGCAAGAGGAGACAGCCAATGTTGCATCAGTAGAGCTCAACATTCACAAGAGTAAAAGCAGAATCCTAAAATGCAACACAGATAAGGTCAACCAAATCACACTTGATGGTGATCTGGAAGGCTTTACGTACCTGAGCAGTATAATTGATAAGCAGGTAGGATCTGATGAAAATGTAAAGGCATAGATCGACAAAACAAGGGTGACATCTGGAACCAAAAACAACTGTCAGCCAACATCAAAGTCAGAATTTTCAATACAAGCGTCAAGACAATGATATTGCACAGAGCTGGAACTTGAAGAACTATTACAACCATAAAAAAGTCAAAGTATTTATAAACACTAGTCTTCTGAAAGATACTCCTTGACTAGACACTATCAGCAACAACCTACTACGGTAGAGAACAAACCAAATTTCAACTGAAAAGAAAGTTAGGAAAAGACTCCGGAGGTGGGAAGGAAATACGTTTCAGGAATCATCAAACTGCATCATGAGCCAAACCCTAACTTGGAATCGTTAATGGAAAAGGAAGAGGTAGACTCAAGAACAGTTTGCGTCGGGAATCAGAGACATATATCAAAAGAATTAATAGCACTTGGAAACAACTGGAAAGGAGAGCCCAGAACGGAGTAGATTGACGACTGCTGATCAGTAGCCTATGCTCCTCCACGAGGTGTAATAGGTGTAAGTATGTCATACAGTCATAGTTTAAACGTTCATCTAATAAGGTTTATTCGACAAGATTTTCAATACGGTTCATTTGAAAATGTCAGAAGGAATAGAAATGAAGTGATTTTTTTAAAATGAATAGTTTTTATTTTTATGAAGTACTTCTTATTTTAATTAACGGTTATTTCCTTATTTTGTTTAGTTCTAATTCTATACTACCTACTAATTTGGTTATTTTGTTGTTCATATATAACAAATAAATGAAGCATGAAAGCCTTAATGTACTTAGTATTAGAAAGTTTTTTTCATCCTTCAACAGTATAACTGTAGTCTATTAATTTATTACTGACCTATGTAAAACTACAAAATAGTCATTTAACTCAAGAAAACCTAACACTAAATAAAGTCAATAATATTATTTTAAGGAGTCTCTGAGTAACTAAAATCACTTAAAACTATTCTATCCTAGTGTGGTGCGTGCTACTTATATTAACATAAGTAGTATATAACGCGAGTCAGAAATGTAATGTCTGGCAGCAGAAGATTGGGAAGATTAAGAAAGGAAAAACGGAATAGAAAGCAATTAGTATAGAAATGCAAGAACAATGAAGTCCGAGACAATTATTGAATATTTTGCAAATTAAGTATTATAGTATGGTTTTTCTATTTTACCAAGTAACTCTGCAATGCTTAGTATTCCAATTAGTATCAATGATACTGAAATGAATTGACCATTATCACCATAGAACAATCGGTAATCGTTTTTTCTTTCACCATTATGTAGCATATTTGATGAATTCAGACTATTTAATTCACATGGGACAGTTATTGACTTATTTAAAACTTTTACAGTTTAGTCTAAAAGTTAAGCGCTCACCGCTAGACATGATCACTTTGGGTTCTCTTTCAAGCAGAGTCATGGATATTCAGTACAGAGGACGTCAATACTAGGACGAAATGTCTCCTTAATGCTTCCTGGTTTTTAATGGTTGTCCAGCTACAGTCAGTTTGTGCTGTAAATTATGATTTATTTACGGATCAAAGCCCGATATTTATTTTATAAAATATGTTTATTAAACTCGTTTGTCACATTCGAATCAGGTTACAATTGTCATAAATTAACTAACTTTCCATGAATTTAATTTAGATCGAATGAAGCAATAATCAGATAAAAACATAATGGAATAATGACAACACTGACTAATCCATTACTCTGAACCACATAATCCCTAGATTATAGATAGTTAACAAGTATTATAAAGATACATGAAATACTTCATGAATGATTTAGTTTTAATAGTAACATTTTCTGTACCATAGTTTTCATTATGTAACGTTCATGTTATTTTCGTCAACAAGTCATAGACCTTGATTTTAAATTTACCGTAAATCTATGCGATAGCTCACGGAGTAGATAAATCAGATGGCATCGCCTTTAAATTCATTAAAACAATAGAGGTGTATCAACCTACAGCTTTATGTTATTTAAATACTGAATACAAAGTCGAGACGTTACATGATCCAATCTTAAAAATTATGATAATTCAATTAATCAAACTTGACAAAATGATTTTTATGTTTATATTGTGGCGCTTGATACGATTGGCTAGTTTGAAACTATGGTCTATAAGAAATATTTCTCATGAAATCACTATTATACAAACATTGATTAAAATAAATTTCATCCACATCATATGAAGCCCAGTTGACGAAATGTATCTGAGATAAATGGGGATACTGGACAAAACTCTGGAAATAATAATCATAACTGATTTTGAGGGACAATGATTACTTTTAGATTACAGCCAGCGATCAAGTAGCAAGAAAATTTCTCTCAGCTTGAATCATGGGCCCCAAGGATGTGCACTGCTGAGGAGTCCCAGACCACGACGAAACGGCCATCCAAAGCTTCCAGGTTTTCACTGGTTGTCCTACTTAGATAGGTTCATGTTTTCAACGAATTTTAACAATCTCTACAACCGTTTATTTACTCCTGTTACCCCTCGCGGAGGAGCATAGGCAGCCCGCCAGCGCTCTCCACAGAACTCTGTCCTGGGCAATCCTTTTCAGTCGCTAATTACTCTAACTGGTGCTGGCTGACAGTTGCTCTGAGTTCCATATGTCCTCCAACTATAGGAATGCTGCCCTTGCTTTGCCGATTCTCGCCTTTATGTCTGCATCCGATCCTCCACGTTCATCGATGATGCTAACCAGATATGTGAAACTTTCCACCTCTTCCAGAGTTTATTCATCAGGTGTGATTCTGTTGGTGTTTTCCGTGTTGTATTTGAGGATCTTGTTTTTTATTTATGTATGTTGAGGCCTTCTGATGCAGAGGCTGTTGCTACACTGGCTGTCTTGACCTGCATTTGTTTGGGTGTATGGGATAGAAGTGCTAGGCTATCTGCGAAGTTCAAATCTTCTAGTTGCATCCAGCCTGTTCATTGTATACCGTGCTTCCCCTCAGATGTGGTGGTCTTCATAATCGAGTCAACCGTCTGAAGATAAATGAAGAACGACAGTTAGAAGCCTCGTCTGACCCCAGTCCTCACTTGGAATGCGGCGGTCAGCTATCCTCCATGCACGACTTCCTCAGTGTAGTCCGCCATAAGAATTCCGAATAATGTTGACGATTTTCTCTGACACACTACAATGTCGAAGAAGTTCCCATTAGGTTCTTCTATCCCCTCTGTCAAATGCCTTCCCAAAGTTAAGTAAGTTGATGTACAGTGACGAATTCCTTTCAATTGACTGTTCAACAATGATCTATAGAATCGCGATTTGGTCTGTGCACAACCGTTCTTTACAGAATCTGGTCTGCTGATCTCGCGTTTATTGAATTGTTCATTCGGATCAGCAACACTCTATTGAAACGTTTCGTGGTACCGATGCTAGTGTTATGTCTCCGTAGTTTTCACGTTTGTTCAGATCTGTCTTCGATATCTTGATGAGGTATCGTTCTTTTCAGTTTGTCCGCACTTGTTCCTCCACCCAAATCTTCCACATTCTTTTGCTGACAGTAAATCTTAGTGTTTATTTTCATTAGGAAAAATGAAACTAGGATCATGACCATGAAAAAGAACGTAAAAGCTATTTCCGTACACAGATATAGCTTTAGTTACGTATAGCGCTTCTCGAATGCGAAAAGCATGTATTTATACAACTTTGGTGGATTTGTTTTGGTACTATTAACAGTATTGAACGATGAGTCTTTTGATACTGAGTTATGGTCAACTACGTGATGTAAAGTAAAAGATTTGATTGAATCTTTGTTGTGTTGACCTAATCAGACATTGTCCTTCATATGTCACCCTAAAATTTTATTTTTAAATCGATTATTTGTCTAATATATTCTAGTCAAATGTAAAGATTCACCAATAAATCAGTCACTAGGTACTAAAGCTCCTCCTTTATGCTCTCTTCTCAAGTCTTTACTGACTGTAAGGTTAGGGAATGAGTCGCATTTCGCTTTCTGTTTATAGAGCCAAAACAGTTCTCTCTCAATTACATGTGAATATTTAATTCATAGATCAATTAGAAAGTTTTCTGGTTTCTTTTCATCAACGGAACATCATACAGAGGTGAAGTTTACGTACAGATGACGTTTGGCTATTTACTTCCTCCTATTTTCAACCTCCTAGTTTCTCCACATATGAATAACACACCATTAGCTCTAATTGAGAACATAGGAGTAGAAAAGTCGGCCCATGTCTAAAGTTGAGGTATGTGATATTCTTTTTTTGTGTATGGATTCGTAGACAATTATAGATCCAACCGTTTTAGAAATTTCATGTAATTTCACTGTGGTAAACTGGTTTATTTTCACATCTTTAAAATTCCGTATGAGTTGTCTTTCAGTTATGTCAGATTTATTTCTATCAATTTCATGTTTTATTATTTTCAGACCAACTGAATTCGGTTACTGCAATATTCAAAATTTGTTTCAACAATACGATCATCTGACTGAGTCTTTGAAATAATTTCATTTCTGTTTACTCTACTAAACTGTAAATTTTCGATATGAGGATGTCAAGAATGTTATTCTGATTAGATATACTACTGGCATCAATTTAAGTAACTTATAATTTAACACAAACATATATCGTCATATTACATATCTGGATAAACAACAAAGAAGACTTGTCATTTCGTTGAAATAATGCATCTTTATCTGGATTATTAAGGTGATAGCACTTTTAAATGGAAAGTTTGGTGAGTATAATCGAAATTATATTTAACTTCTGAAATCTAAGTCAGTATTCACTACTTCCTTGATCTTAATGATTCTAAAGTCCAATCAGTTTTGATAAACGCACGTATTATTATACTTAACATTAATATACACTGATAACATTATATTTTAATAGATGAGACAATGAGAAAATAAAATAAAACCTATTGTGCTTACATCATCTGTGTCGATATCATCTAATGTCCAACAACAATATGTGCCAAGAAATATCCAAGCTGATATAAAACAGAAAATGGTAGCAAGCCATAATAAAATGTATCCAGAACCATAATCAATAGATGTTGTTGTACGTTGTTTCTATGTTTAATTATATGGCATGATGTAATAGATAAAAAGAGAAAATAATGTTAATGTAGAAAATTATTAAAAAGTAAAAGTTATTCTGATTATAATTTAACAATCAATGGAAGTTATCCAGAACTAAAATATTCAGTTAACATTTATAAATCAATAACAAGTCATTGATAGATGTAGACTGGATTCTTTTAACTAGATAAATAGGCAAACATAGATTTCCTGTTTCTATATTTATTTATTTATTATCAATGTTCATAGTAAGTTATTTCAGACTTTACTGGAATGCTAATTTATCAACATCAGTGTACCATAACAACTTGTCTGAAATAATAAGCACTTCTTCCCATCTACATAAGTATTGTTGAGATGTTTGAGCATTTAGTATACAAGAGAATTTATTGTAGCAAGTGGAGTGTTTATCATCTTTGTAAAACAATAAAATGTATTATTACACTAATCTTAGTTATCACAATGCTTTCATTGTCAATTAGCTAATTGAAATTGAACACAATGTTGTGTACAATCTGAAAGTCTATTTTTATACAATAAATATGTGTTAACCACTTAATTGATATAATTTTCCTTCAAGGTTAATAGGTACAATGAGCATTCTTTATACTAACTTTCTAGGAATTCCTAAACTTTCTTAATCTTCAATACGTGAACTATAAATGGGGAACAATTAAGAACTTTGAAAGAAGATCTGATTTGAAACTGATAGTATGTACAAAAACGAGAGCCTTCATTAGATTATTGGATATCTAGTTACTCCAGAATCATTGAGAAGAATTATTACAATTGATAGTAAATTTTTAAGTTGTCAATTAAATTATCGAATATTACTTCATTTGGAAAACAACTGGAAAACATTGAGTACTAAACGGTATCACATCCCTTGAAACTTTAAAAAAGTTCAAGCTTATGATCTCATTTTTATATAAAGAACTGGTTGATATAAAAATATATCGTTTTTTCATAGGTTCAATCTAATGAAAGTTTCTAATTTAACATACTTAGTAAATACATGTTTTAATAGATATGTCATGCTGTAGAGTATCACAACCAATATGTTCATTACTTGAACCGCTTTCTGGATTCCTTAAATAATTGTAATTTTGAGCTCTGAATAGTAGTAAAAGGACATATAACAAGATTAGATGCCTCATTTCAAAGTCAAATGATGCGCAAATATTGGCTTATTTACAGGTTTCTGAAAATTCAGTAAGTTTAGCAGTAAAATAAATAATTATCCAACAAAATTATAACATGCAATCATTGATTTTTCAGAATGTTTCTGCAAAGCATCTACTAGCTACTGATTGTGTGAAATATTTTCAGCCTTTTACTAGTTTTTGGAGATAATATTGAAGAATTCTGGGTAGATTATAACAATAACAAGACTACATGAAATACATCCATGATAAATAATAAAGTGTTGCTTTTATTAAAATAAATTGACTAATCTTTCTATGACGAACGATCACATTTAGTTTGAAATATGAACGGGATTCCTTACTTCAGACCATTGATTAAATCCATATGGGTATCCGGATGATTTACCGTACTTATCTTCAAATTGTTCAACATGAAACATTATTATTGAACTTTGAAGACAAAATCCTTTATAAAACATTTAAAAAAAAAGTTTTCGAAATATAACACTGTCACTGTTATAATGAACATTATTTACCAATTTTATAAATAATGAGAATAACAAAGCAAGACAAGTCAATATGACTGTAAACATGTGACTGTAAGCGAATACAATAAATTTTCGATTGAGAGCATGAACCTATTGATGTAAGACCACTGTTGGAAACGAACCCAGAACTATTAACCCACTGAACCATTGAGCTGGCATCCAATGGTGTCTAACATCAACCAATTCATGAAACTGCGTGACCATCTTCCATTGTACTGAGGTAGATGCCTATCTCTACCCGACATGGATTAGCTCCGCTGGTCACAGCTTCTCACTAGAACTCCGAGAATCCCCTCACGAAGCTGGTCACTAGTGAGAACACGTTAAGTATCAGTATCCCGCGAGCGGGATCGTGGATGCGCATTGCTGAGGAGTCTCACAATAGGACGAAATGGCCGTCCAGTGCTTCCAGGTTTCCAACAGTGGTCTAACATCAATCGGTTCACGATCTCAATCAAAAACTTAATAATCTCCACAACCCCTATACTGGTAATACAATAATTAATAATCCAACTCCTTTTACAAGTAAGCTCTATCATAATAAGATTTGACCCGAAACAACTTCCCATCATACTATATTACCCAGCTGCTCAAAATTAATGAGCAGGGCGGATTTGAAATTTTCAAGTTTTAATAAGTGAGTATTTTAAAAAATAAGTCATCAATTCAAAGTTAATGTATTGGTTTTCACTGCAATATACTCATTCATGTTAAAACTCTCAAAGAGTAAACAACAAAACAGAAATAAAGCGAATAAAATAGGAAAGGAGGTTTAAGATACCGACTGTAACAAAATCTTTTTTAGATTTTGAAATCTTGGATCAGAAGTGTCTGAAAACAATGACATTATTCTTAGTAACGTAGAAATAAGTAAATAAGAGACATGAAAATTATTTCACCATCGATTCTTGTATTAATTCCACTTGATTTAATTTAAACTTTCCAGAGGATATCACTTAGAAAACACACTCTTTCGCATATGATTCAACTCATTGTGTAATGACTATAGGAATTTGTATATTAGTAATGCGTGAGTGCTGGAAGTCATTAACTTCTAGTCTGAGTCATTTTGGTAGATGCAGACTACTTGGTTGGCGTCCGCGTGACTATCGTAACCAATGGTTGGAGACTCTTAATGACATGGATCAGAATCCATCACAATGGCGCAGGTGTATACACTCTTCGTCTTCACTTAAACTAAGAGATTAAAATCACTTCATATCTTTCTTTCTACGAACTAATTCTGTCTTCCTGTACTATATCGTTATATGCAATCTTTCTTTTATATATTACCACCATTGACTTAACCACTCCTATGAATCCGGTGTCCATCTTGCTGTGCTAATGAGGTATGGCAACTTGGACCGACGCACATATGTGCCTGGTCCTATATTGTAGCTGACTGACTGACTGATAATAGTAATGCTTAAATATACTCATATTTTCATCTCTGCTTTTCTTTGAATCACTTTGAAATATCGAGGTTATCTACTTCATTCAGTTTAAGCCATTCTAGCTTCATTACAGAAGCAGTTCAATTGAATATCAAATTCTCAGTAATAATTAAAGATTCAACTAACTTGTTTCGAATACACTTTTAACATCAAAACAGTTTCCCTAAGATTAGACCTTCTGCCAACTTTAGATCACAGCAGTTGTCAGTAACTCTCTCTCCTTCTCTCCAGCTACTTGTCGTAATTATTCATGTTATGTATATGAATCTTTAATACTCGAAAATAGTAAGTCACTTACAAAATTCGACATTACATATCACAACTTAAAATTTCTCTCCAAACTATATAATTCATGACGGTTGCCAGCTTATCAGAATGTATGAGTTTCTTGTTTTCATAATGATGTTTTCTGTGCAGAGATTATTTTTTTAAAATTTTTATTCAAGAAGGAGAAAAATTCCATCTACTTGATATTGAATTGGAATGAAATCAACTTTAAAATAAAACAATATTATATTTCAATGGTTGAGATCATGAGTCAGTTGAAGCTAGACCACCATGGAAAACCTGGAAGCACTGGACGGCCATTTCCTCCTATTGGGGGACTCATCAGCAGTGTGCATCCACGATCTCGCTCCTTGCAAGATTTGAACCAGCTTAATGGTCTAGTGGTTAAGCACTCGCGCGTGAGACTGATAGGTCCTTGGTTCGAATCTCGCGGCGGGCGAGATCATGGGTGAGCACTGCTGGTGAGTCCCGCAACAGGATGAAACACGCGTCCAGTGCTTCCAGGTTTTCCATGGTGGTCTAGCCTCAACTGACTCATGATCTCAACCATTGAAATTACTATAATATCTACAAAACCCCTTCTAATATTATATTTCTTTATTTTGTTTAACTTACCAGCTAACATAAGAAATATCCCTATAATTAATCGCCAATTTCTGAAACATTTATTATCTTTATTCGTTTTATACCAAACAATGATCAATGCAAGAGCAGCAATAAAACAAATACACATGATAATTATTGCTATTGAATGCATAGCCAGTTCAGCAAGACGTAGATCTATAGATGTGTATGTTTAAAATATTCAGAAAAAATAAAAAAGGGAAAGAATATTATCCTTTAATAAAATATAATAACTGTTTTTAATGAATATCACAGATAATGTTATGGTATTTCACATATTTCTTTGTAATCCTAATTCTTTGGATTCCAATGGTTAATTTCAAAATTATATTTATTTTTATGTTTTTTTTAATGACATTGGAATCCCAAACGAACTTTTAATTCTACTGAAGACATATTATTATTATTAGTATTATTATTATTAGCTTTATTCAATATTAGATTTTTGGTACAATATAGAATTCTCAGCGCAAAGTATTTCAACAAGTTTCCGTTTCTTTCTTCTTGGTCGGTCCTGGCGATAAATATTGAGTGATCGCCAGTTAGATGTTAGCACTTCAGTGAATGAACATCTGAACAATGTACATTCTTTTCGTTGTATATTGACAGCAACCACATTGTCTCTTATTGAGTTTTTTGTAACTTTGACAATGAAAGGTTGTACACTTTTCAGAAACGCAGCAGAATAGGTTATGCGATTAATAAACATAATGATATATTAAAACAAACAAAAAGAGATAACTTGTTGAAATATCTAGATGGCAGGAACAGGTAGCCCGAATGCTCAAGCAGGCCGCCCTTTCACTTGGTGCACCTGAATCTCAGTGATGAAATTTACACTGGGTCTCATACGAAGTATGTTTTGCTTTAACTCACCAACACTTTATCTACTGAGTTACTGAGTCCATATAATCAGTGGCCTTTGTTATGGGGATTAAATTTCTCAAACTCTTACAAACATCATTGTAAATAATCTGATTTCAATTTCTTTTAATTTCCTTGTGATATAGTTTTACTGAAGAGTGTGTTATATCGGACTAATAAATATTTCTGTCAGATCTCATACTTATCATAACTGACTGGCTTATTCATGATCTATGTAATAACGACTTTTTCGGCTAAATTTTGCTCCCTGAACTGAACGGTTTGATAACGAGTTTTTATTATGCTTCTAAATGACATGGTCAGTACGGACTTCACACGTGACTCATAGCTTGTTCTGTCGGCCTCTGATTAGTTTTTTCTGACTCTTTTCATGTCATTGCCTGTATATTTATTTTGATTATCTTACCATTTGACCTTCACGATTAAATAACCCATTTTAAAGAACAAAAGTCCACCAAGTTCATCCATCTGAGCTAGAAATTTTCTCAATCACCTAAAAATGATGATTTCTTATTAGAAAGTTTTCTTGTTATCTTTGTATTATTGGACAGTTTCTTCGTTACTTTGTCGTCACGAATGTTTTACCTCATTCTTTATAAATGATTTTTTATTACATATGCTACATATCAGTTGGCAAAATCTCCGAAACCAGTCTACTAATCATCTTTCTTCAGTGGTTGTATTGATGACAGTGGTTAAGTTATTATCTAGGAGTCGAATTAATGAAAACCGTCCAAAAACTACTGCAACTATAGGTTTAGCAAACTCTCTATTATTCTAGCATGAGATCAAATTTTTGATTTACAAGACGTGGATGAAATAGTTTTGTTTAGTGAAGACTCTTAAAAAGTAAAGATTCTTCTGACTCCTTTAAGCAACAATACGAGTATGTTTGGAACGAGATTCTCTACCTTTAATTACGAAATCCTGCCTTAGGACTGCTCTTTGTCAGCTAACGCATCAAAGATGGGGGCGAATTAGATGAGTGGGTCGATTACTTTACTTATCTGCGATTATACGCAATGCACTATATAAATATAACATTGATTGATGAAGTATTAAAACCTCATCAACTGAGGTGGTTAGCACTTGTTACGTATACCCGATCACCATCTACCTCGACTGGCGTTGTTATCTGTTGTCGAACTGATATGTGAGAAAACTTGGAGTGACCAAACCTAAAAATTGTATCAGTCTATAAGATCATCAACATTTGAACTAGGATGAAACGACCGTCAGCGTTTTCAGGTTTTCAATTGTGGTCTAGCTTAAATCGTCTTGTGGTGTCAATAACAAAATCACGTCATTACATTTTATAACTGCTAAATGTTGAAGGAAAAAGAAGTAAAAAATTCAATTCTAGTTACAATACACATAAAAGTTTCTATAAAACACCACGTCGTATAAAGTGGATGTACATTTGACCTATACATTCACGAACGGAAATTACATGCCATATTTTATCACATTAATTGATGCATGTAGATGTAAATATACGTATGTATGTATAGCTAAGGTAATAAATTTGATTAGGCAATATTAAAATATTGGTTTTGAAAAAATTAAGAGAATTTTTTAGAAGTTTGGTACTTGTATCTGTCGGTATTTGACAAACCTATAGATGCGAGAGTTATGTTATACAACATGCCCTTGTGGGCCAGGGTAATTTTACATTGGTTTTCAGAAGAACCAGACACCACCCAGACTTTCATGTGACAACCCAAACAGCACAGGTCAATCCCGTTTAACAGAAGGGCTTGATACCGCCCAGGCTTACATTTTATAACGCGAGTAGTACAGCTCAATCCCGCTTCACAGTAGAACCAGACACCGTATAGGCTTTAAAGCCAAAATCCGAATAGTACAGCTCAATCCTGTGCCACAACCACACAGGTACCAAGCACCCTGGTGAACCATTCTCACCATTCATATACACATTCACGTCACATGTATAGTTATTCTGATCAATGATCGCATGAATCAGTTATGCACAGCACGAACAGACCAACATTTATCTATTCCGCTTACACGACAGTCAAACTCATTAATGTTAGCAATGGCGACATGCCTTACAATGTCCCAATGACAATAGTCCTTGAGAACACTGAAAAGCGATCACTAGTATGAATGAAATCTGTTAACCAGTAAACCAATTCTGTGCATGAACAGTCAGCAAAACTTGCCAAAGCAATGCCGAACCATCTACAATACCAATGACGAACCTCCAATCTCATATGAGACCTTCAGTTCTATATAACCATATAAATGTGACTCAAACGTTTTAATTAATAATGACAAAATAAATCAATTAATTAGTCACAAAAAAATAACTATATACAACAATCAATGTAAAAGTTAATGCATAAAATGATAACAAGCTATTGAAATTGATCAGTAAATAACAATGTCTTAAACATCAAATATTCTAGAAAAATAGAAGAAGAGGCTTTAATTATCATTGATTATACTTTTTCAATGTATTATAATAGTAATCATTATATTTATTAAGCGTAAGTTGGGTAATTGAAGAAAAGAAAAAGAAAAAAAGAAAGAAAACAATTACATTCTAATTATGAATAAATGAATTAATGTTGTAACATACTTGTCATTAATGTTGAATATTCATCTACATAACTTCGATCACGGTTCTGGCATGTGTTATCTGTATAATAATAATAATAATAATAATAACAAGTTTATTAAATAAATAATATTCCGAATATTATAAATTATTTATACAGTATATAACAATGTTATGTAATATGATCAGCCTAATTCTTCTTTAATCATTCCTATTGAATATAAATTGTATTAGTTGTATTGAGATTACTTCATTGATAAAACACTTTATGTTGTTGTTGTTGTTGTTGAAAATTGATATTCACAAACAATCTTATGGTATATAATCAACTAGATTTATTTAAGCATCAATATATTCTCATAAGTAGTATATTGTATAATGTAATCATTTAAAATAAATTACATTTGTACAATTATATCAACTTTAATTTATATTAACAGTATAGAATTGTGGAGATTATTAAGCTTTTGATTAAGATCATGAATTGATTGATGTTAAATCATCATTGAAAAAGATCGTCTAGTGATTCCAAATTCTCAATGATGGTCTAATATCAATCGATTCATGATCTTAAAAAAATTTCGTTTATTAATACATGAGAATAGGTGATATCATTCATTAGGGTTTTTCTTTCTATGATGACAACAATTGTTTATTGTTTGATTAGTTAGACTCCATAGTGTTTCATAAGAAATTGCTTGTAGTAATATGCATATATTAAGCATTAATGATTAGTTGCTAGGTCAGTTTACATTATAAGGTAAATAAGAAAATTAATGATCAACGTATTTATTCTTGTAGATTTTTAATTATAACCCTTAAAATCAATAATGAATGTTTTAGTAATTCATTACTGGCTTTATCTATATTCTGAATTTTCTTGATTACCTACGGTTAGAGTTAGACATGTTCTAAGAACTGTTCAATAAATGTGAGTAAAATGACTATTTTGATTATAGCATAGATTCTAGTAAACATTAATGAATAGAGTAGAACATTAAAGATGGTTAATGTCAAAAAGATTCTGTAAATTAATTATATGTGTTGCTTATAGCAGTTTGATTTTAAGATCCTGTATATTGTACGCATACAACAACTTATTGATTAACTAAAGTCCTATTGAGTTTAATATATTTCAATTTGACTATAATGATCAATGTATTTAAAGCAAATAAGATTCAATGCATTTAAACATAGTTTTGATTTATATGTGATGTTGAATAAATCTTTATTCATCATTTTTATCTTCTCCTCTGTTACTAGCTATATCAGCTTTTTGTTAACTTATGACGACTATTGTATAAGTGATTGTGATTACGTAAGAGACGTAGAGATAACATCTATGATTGCAACGCTATGAAATAAAGATTTATATATATATATATATATATATATATATATATATATATATATATATATATATATATATATATATATATATATATATATATATATATATATATATATAGAAGAATTTCCTAAATACGTTAAACGTCTTGATACACATAATGAACGAATGAGTATTAGTTAACACAAAAAAGATCAGTAGTTTCTTGTCGATTACATTTAATTATCTAACAAGCGATGAGTAGTTAAGACAGTATATACAAATATATACAAATAAAATAGAAAAATGTAACTTTTTCATTTTTTTTCTGTCTATTACCTGATGTAAAGCATACTTGTGTATAACCCATACTTCTAGCTTTGTTTACATTTGCATTGGATGCATCAAACACTGATGGAGCGATCATAACAAATGTTGGTAGAGCGACGGAAGCAGCAGCCAAAGCAATGGCCACTGCCAAAATTATAAAACCTGCAATTATCCAACTTCGTGTATAATTTAAAGCTTTAAAATCATAGTCTTCTTCAGTTGCAAATTCCGAATTGTCTTTAAATGTCATATCTATGAAACATAAATATAATTAATCTCATATGTTAAACCATTTTTATATTAATTGAAGTGAAATATTTCAGTTTTACGTTGTGTCAAATTACTTCTTGCCATTTTAAATAAAATAACATTAAACTAATTTAGTCATTTTGATTTGATGTCAAAAGCAATTAAGTTTCACAGACGGGAAATTTCTCACAGATCGAGACCAATTCATATCATAGATAATAACTGTCTCTTTTTGCTATCAGGTTGTTTCAATGACTTAGTAAATTTGGACGATGTAATAGATCGTCTAGCATAACTTAAGGAAATAATCTAGTCGTATCAAAAGCGAATAATGAAAAAATCCTGACGCGTTATTTCATTTCAACTAAACCGTTCACGAGTATGTGGTTTAAATATCAATTATCATGAAATTTCTAAAGGCGCCATGCGGGTAAACATTACTTACTTTAGAAACATTCAGTTGTTTGATTTCTTTTCTGGAACTAAGTTCAATGTTTAATGGCCAACAATTTAATTCAATGGCAGTGTTTCGTATGACAAGTCTAGTTTGTTGATACTAAATTCTATGTTAAACTATGCTTACATGAAGATCACATAGCTAAGAGCCTATAAATCTCATCTTATTCCTAAACGTTAGATAATTATTTGTATAGTTACGTAAATTTCAAAATTATCATGAAACTAGACACTTTTGATGAATGATAAACTTCTCGGTTCATAAAATATATAGTTAACTTTCTAATAAAATTTAACAAAACTCTGAAACTAATCACACAAAAATTACTCAACCGTAAACCTGTCTAACGTTAAACCAATCAAACGTCTGAAACACAATTTAATTAGAATCTATTTAAACAATTTAATGGTAAGTTTGATTAAGCTAATGTCACTGATTTGAGTATTCAAAGGTGACTGTTTGAAATCGAACCCCAAACGAATAAGAAATGAATACAATTATCGTCTTTTTTTTCATAAAACTCACTTATAATGGTTATCTGTTCATCGATTTAATAGTAAGTATATTAATGAACTGATAAAAATATATATTAGATTTCTCCTAGACACTGTATAAGTTTCATAATTGATTAGTTACTGGTGGTGATCAATGTCAAGGTCGATAGCATTCAGTCTATATTAAGAAGAACTTGACACACATGACATTGATCACCACCCAGTGATCAATCAATTGTAATTACATCCCAGTCCTACAGGAGGTTGGTCGCTACCCAGATAGCCCAGTGGTAACGTCTCTGACTGTGAAGCTGGGTGACACGAGATCGAATCTGTCAGGCAGCACCAGTTCCTTCAAGATTGCAGGTACACCTTGCTGACGAGTGCCAAGTAGCACGAAATCCGAGTACAAAGTTTCCTGTTGACTACCTCCAACCACTATCTAACTGTTTAAGTTTTATGGTTACGTACTATGGTACAATATGTTAGTAATATACTTCACTAGCTTTCACACAAGTCAAGGTTCCAAATAGTTCCACTTTACGAATCCATTATTTATTTCTTTACATCTTATAAGTTTCTTTCAGTGTTATAACTAATTTACCACTATCTTATTCATATTACAATATTATGAATTTCCAAAAAGCCGGATAATTTGTACTAGCTCAAAGAAGTATTCATAATATCAAGAAAAATCAATAAAATTTCTCATCTGAAATTATAAAAAAAATCAATATAACCAAAAGTTTGGTGATTACAAATTTTAGTACACATTAATTGATTAATGGGATCTCTATTTTTAATAATAAAATCAATATGAATAGAAGTACATCTTTCATATATATATATATACATAAAATTCTCACAAAATATTCAATATCTAAGTATTTAAAATTTATTTTGGATCATTTATGAGTTAGTTGCTAGAATAGTAAATCAATAAGAGAATATAGAATATGGCATAGATACATTGAATAAGTAAACAATAAATAAACCAGTTACAATAATATATATACTTATTATATTTTATATTGAATGAAGTATAATAACTACAAATTATGATAAGGTCATCATCATATATCTATTCACTTATCTCCCTTTTTTTAATGCTGACTCAATAGTAATTAATTACATCATATTCTTTATACTAAATAGTACTCATTTCTTGAATATTATTGAAAACTGTCATAGAATAAGTTGATACATGTAAATTGATCAATGACCTTGGTAACATAACCTTTAAATACATTCAAGGTAATAAATTCAAAATCACTTGATCTTGATGGGAGTGGAATGTGAATGAATGAATCAATTCATTTGGATAATTCAATTCAATATTAAACTACAAATATTTATGATATAATTGTTTATTCACAAAAATGTTAGATATCTATTTTATATATCTAGTTAATTGATTCAATAGTTGAAATCATGAGTCAATTGAAGCTAGATCACTGTGCAAAACCTAAAAGCACTGAATGGCCGTTTTATATTAGTATGGAACTCCTCAGCATTGCGCATCCACGATCCTGCCCCACTTGCGAGATTCAAACCCAGGATCTATCAGTCTTGCGCGCTAGCGCTTAACCATTAAAGCACTGAGTCAACATCCAACGGTGTTAATGTCTCATGATTTCAACTATTGAAATTACTAAAACCTCCACAAAAACCCTTCTGATAAACATATGCTTGTCAGTTTGCTGGTTGTGAAGATTATTACTGAGATCATGAACTGATAATTATCTAAATAAGGTTGATTCATGATCTCAAAAAGATGATTATCTATATGATCAGCAGAGAAAAAAATTTCAATTATCTAAATTAAAGAATAGTGTTTTCATGTAAACTCAATAACAGTGTCCCATTTTTTAAAAGATGTATCTTTCCATTATCAGCTATATGTCTGATTAGTTTATTTTTGTTTAACTGCTTCAAAAGGCCAATGGAAAGTATTTATAATTTTCAGATGTTACATTCAGTTTTAATTCAATGTTATAACATTGTATAAATGTATTTTAGCTTTATGAAGGTGTTGATTATGAAGCTGAGAAATCTATTTGACTAGAACAAAATAATGTAGACTCCTTCAGAATGTAAGTATGAGAACGAAAATAAACAGATGAAATAAAATTCATTTTGTATACTTAAATCATTAGTTATAAATTACCAATTGTGTTCTAGTGATCATTTCCATAGGTAAAAAATGAGCTCAAAACAATTGAAAACAATTACAGACTATTGTTAGTTGATCAGAAAACTTCTTATAAAAGGTAGATGATAATATTATAAAACGTAAATAGACTTCATATGATTTTACATACTGAATATTTTGAAGTCTTCTAAAGCTTTTTTCTATTCATTCAAAGATGGATAGTGGCTAACAGTGGAATACAGGAGGCGCGTTTCGTCCTATTCTTGAACTCGTCAGTTGGGTGTACCTGCATCCCAGGGTTGATGTTCACCCTGGTACTCGAACTCAGTACCGTTCGCTTCGAATGCCATCGCGTTATTTACTTAGCTACTGAGTCCTGATAGTCACCTGCTTGTGCGACGGGGTGAATTTTCAAATTCACTTGGTGCTGTTTTACTTAAGAAGATACAAGTAAAACAACACCAAGTGAGTTTTTTCTATCTGTTAATCAGCAAGACAACAAAATAAGAATTCATTTATATTGATAGAAATTAACGGTCTTCTCAAACTTTCAGGGACGCTACCAAAATTTCAAGAGTTTACATATTGTTCTTGGGTAAGGTTATTGGCAAATAATCAATTGTTTATGAATAAGACATGGGTATAGAGTTGAATTGAGTGTTATATACAATGTACATACAAAACATTTAACATTCTACACTCTTTTAATTATCACTTTTACTCCATGATGGTAAAAAATTATTGTTTATATTATCATTTTAAACATTCTGTGCACTATCCAATTGTATCTCTTACGCTTATTATTCATTTCATAAGTTAAAAGTTATTCAACGTCTCCTTTGATTCTGATTTCCTAGTTCCTATTACTACACTTTTGACATCACTCTTTCATGTGATTTTAAATTATAAAATATGAAAATCTAAAGAATATAAACAAACAAGACATTGAAACATTGAATGTTCGTCAAAAGATAAGTTGAGAAATAAACTGTTTGAAATGATTTGCAAACTAATCTTTATAGAGTTACGAAAGAATATTCTGAATAATACATTTGATTGTGTAGGACAAGTTTAACATTATAAGTAAAGATGGATAGCTAATAAGCACAGTATATACATATGCTGTCCTAAAAATCAATCAGAAGATTCAAGGGAGAATATAATTTATGGACGAACCGATCAGGTATAAGATAACGAATCTCGGATTTTGGTGTGAAATTCACTAATATCCATCTGTCCGTATAGCGTCTTGACATTTTAACTGATGTTAGTTCATGATGAAAAACCGTAAATCTAATTCCTAACCGTAACCATCAACTGTAAATCATAATCCTTAATCTTCAAACTTCTTTATGACCCTCATTTAGCCCTATCAAGTAGGTAGACACTCACAAGGTCACTTTGGCATCGCTCAAAGGTCTTCCATAAGATGCAGTTTTATTTAATCATGCATGATAATCTATGTAGAATCTATTTATTATTCAAATGAGTTAGATGCTTTCTTATTGAATAAGAAAATGTCGATGTATGCTGATAAAATATATGAGATAGTCTACTAGGTGGTTGTACGCAGATAACAGAAAAACCCGTTATCTATGTTCCGTACTGGCTGAAACTCGTCAGCAAGACATGCCAGCATCCCCGACGGAAATGACGTTTACTGTAAGATCCGAATGTATGTTGTTCAAGTTTAGATCATGTGACGTTATCACTAAGTTATTCGGCTTCCTTTTGACTAACCCCAACCAATTAATACATGAGTAGGTAATCCACATGATGACCAGTCAATCAGACTAATTACTAATAGTCAACTTGGTAGACAGAATTCAATCAGTACTAAAGAATTGAAAAATGTGATAATGATCATTGAATGGTGATCAATTAATGTAAGACAACAT